CGAGCCCTCCCTCCGTTCAAATTAACTGGGGGAGAGCTAAGCGCAGCCAAGTTAAGTTCGGCCCTGGGGGATTCCAGTCTAGTGGACTATTACTGCTGTCTCACTTCATTATAATGAATAATAAAGAGATACTTACACACGGCTTCTGTAAATTATTCATTGCGCGCACTGAAAAATCAGGGCAGCAATATGTAAAACAGACAACTTGCATGTCTGCGCTCATATAAATATCCAGACTACAGCCCTGCGAGGCACTCTCGGGTCCCCTCATTAGGGGGGAAGCACAAGGACTAGGGTTTGAAGTGACGGGGACGAGGAGCTCGTGCCGCACGTTCGACCGTCACTGCCTGGCTTCGGGGACGGGATGCTTCCCGGGAGGTTTGGGGTCGGTCTGGGACCCCTGGGAGCTTTGGCCACTCATTCTGCGTTCACAGCTCAGAGCCGCGCCTGTACAAGGGCACAGGGACACCCTTACCACGGGCAGATCTGCTCCCGCAAGGACAGCATCGCCCTCCCTTACCCGTAGCACCCAGTGACCTGTACCACCCTCAAAACCACTCGAAGCAAGCAGGGAGGGGAACTGGGAGACTCCTCTCAATGAACTCACACCAAGAGCAACATGGCAAAGGCTCCTTCTCCCCACCCCTCAAGCTCGCTCTTCAGTTCCCACCACCGCTTCATAGCTAATCTGGGACCAAGACCCTTCGGCTCTGCTTGCTCTGCGTTGTGCTCCTCTCCACGGGAGCCCGGGCTGTCCCCTGCGGGGAGGGACCAGACAAACCACCCTCCTTCAGAAAACCAGCCCTCCCAGCAACGCGTCACAACAGCCACCAGCAGAAAAGCCACCGTCCATCAGCACGGCGCTTCTGGAGGCACCTTCTCGCCCGACCTTGTCTTCCCACACCCTGGGAACCAGCGCTTTGAAGGGAAATCCTGACGGACACCCCGACGCAAGGAGCACCTCGCCAGCTTCTTCCCCGGGCGCGGGCAGCCATCTCTGTTAGCCGCTAAGCTGCCGGCACTCCCCCG